TATAATCACTTGAAAATAAGAATTATTATGTTTTTGTTACCTTAGAATGAGACGTTTTAAGCTACAGATGGAGTGGGTCCGCCATGTTTCTACAGCAGCTGAGAACAGTCAAACCAAACACTGGCTGTACATAGGAATAGTTAGATAGTTTATCTGTGCTAGAAAGGTAAGCAGATATTCAGCCGGTTGCAATCTGCAACTTCACCGCTAGATGCCACTGAATCCTACAAACTGGTCCTTTAAAATGTGTATGTAAGTATGTGATATAGTTTCAGTGAAGCGCTTTATGAACAGTACTGAGCCCCAAAGCTGACAAAATGTATTAAAAGGTTATTGTATCGGTTGAGCCTAAACTTAAAGCTAATAACTGGAGAACTCTGTAGTGTACAAGAGAGTCCAACTTCTACTTCTGCTTTTGATGGAGTATTTATTTCTCACCTGTAAAGATCTTCAGTGTCCATAAATCTCCATACAGCCAACATCTCACCAATACATCAATGCAGCGTTCACCTGTAGCGTCGTTATTTGTGTTCCTCCTGTCCAGCAACACCTGTTCCCCTGAGTGAAGGTTCCTACCTGTATTGAAAGTGAGGAAGCACAAAGGTGACACCTACTGGACCAACGTGGTCCGACATACACTTCTAGAAAAGGCTCCTAGTCCAGTTATATAACTGAATACATCAATAAACAACACTTTTAGTTGCATAATTAAAAAAAAAGTGTAAAAAAAGAAATATAAATATTTATTTTTCCTCTAGCCTCCAGTCAGTTTGTTAACAAAGATCTAAACTAATTAAAACATTTGTTTGAATCCTCATTTATCTTTCTGTCGCTCATTTGATTTTTCACCTACTTTTTTAAATTTAATTTAATTATTTAATAATTTACTCTTTGTTAGTGTTCACATGGGACTTGAAAAATTGTGAACTTGTCCTTAAATCACTTACGTACTCCCTGTTTTCCCCAATTAACATTTCCCATTTTCCTAATTTTAACTTGTTTGATGACTTTGTACAACCTTTTGTCAGTTTTGAGACTCCACACTAACTGTATATGATGCTTAGAGTAAAATATTCAAGTTCAAGACTACATTTTTATACTGATTTTTAGTTTGTGATATATATATGTAACAATTAGCCATGAGTCTGTCAGAACCATCAGTGAGTCAATAAGTAATGTGCCGGTAAAGCTGATAAATTACACGCCTGGACATTTGGCATCTGGTCTGTCAAGTTAAACCAAGTTGTAGTTGATTTTATTGACCTTTGTCTGTTTCAGATGAAGTAAGAGTTGGAAAGTACAAAGAGCTTTTCCATCCTGAGCAACTGATCTCTGGAAAAGAGGACGCAGCCAACAACTACGCACGTGGCCATTACACTGTCGGGAAGGAAATCATTGATGGAGTCATGGAGCGTGTTCGTAAGATGGTCAGTAATAATGATTGACGAATTACTGTTTTATATTATATAATATATATATTTATATATTTTTTAAAAGCTAACACATCAGCTATCATGTTATGGAATAGTTCAACAGTCCGCTCAATGTCTCGTTTGTTTAATCTGAACAGAAAGTCCTAGTTTTTTACACTTGTGTCTTTGGATTAAACAAACAAGATATAATGTGTTAATTTCTGAGTTTTAGAGATGCTGGTAGGAGGATTTTGTTCCCTTTGTACAGATCCAAGCTAGCTGTTTCCCTTTGTTTCCAGTCTTTGTGCTAAGCTATTGAATGAACAGATGTGAGAGTGGTATCGATTTACTCATCAAACTCTCTGCGAGTGAATGTCGAACTATTCCTTTAACACGAGCTTCTCTCTGTCCTCCTCATCAGACGGACCAGTGCACGGGCCTGCAGGGGTTCCTCGTCTTCCACAGCTTTGGAGGTGGAACCGGCTCTGGTTTCACCTCCCTGCTGATGGAGCGTCTGTCTGTCGACTACGGCAAGAAGTCCAAGCTGGAGTTCTCCGTCTACCCGGCTCCTCAGGTGTCCACCGCTGTGGTGGAGCCCTACAACGCCATCCTGACCACCCACACCACCCTGGAGCACTCCGACTGTGCCTTCATGGTGGACAACGAGGCCATCTACGACATCTGCCGTCGCAACATGGACATCGAGAGTCCCGGTTACATAAACCTCAACAGATTGATCGGTCAGATTGTTTCCTCAATCACGGCCTCCCTTCGCTTCGATGGCGCCCTCAATGTCGATCTGATGGAGTTCCAGACCAACCTGGTCCCATTTCCACGTATCCACTTCCCTCTGGTTACCTACTCACCCATCATCTCTGCTGAGAAGGCCTACCACGAGCAGCTGACTGTGTCCGAGATCACAGGCGCCTGCTTTGAGCCGACCAATCAAATGGTCAAGTGCGACCCTCGTCACGGCAAGTACATGGCATGCTGCATGCTGTACCGCGGCGACGTCGTCCCTAAGGATGTGAACGCTGCCATTGCAAGTATAAAGACCAGACGCTCCATTCAGTTTGTCGACTGGTGCCCGACTGGCTTCAAGGTGGGAAACGTTACGGAGGTTAGAAGTGTGAGTTTGAGTCTTTATCTGTCTGATTGTATCTTTGTTTCGACAGGTTGGCATCAACTACCAACCGCCAACTGCGGTTCCCGGTGGAGACCTGGCCAAGGTGCAGAGGGCCGTGTGCATGCTGAGCAACACCACCGCCATCGCCGAGGCCTGGGCTCGTCTCGACCACAAGTTCGACCTCATGTACGCCAAGCGTGCGTTCGTCCACTGGTATGTGGGTGAGGGCATGGAGGAGGGCGAGTTTGCGGAGGCCAGAGAGGACCTGGCGTCTCTTGAAAAGGATTACGAAGAGTTGGGTCGAATGAACCCCGATTCTGAAAATGACGACGAAGAATACTGATCTCGTGACGGCTGCACGGCAGTGATTCGATCCTGTACTGAGTAAATAATGATTTAATATCTGTATCTTTTGAGCTTTTGATGATTTCTCTCGCTGTTTTTATAAAGTCAACTTTAGATTCAGAAGAATTGTTGGAATTGAATTTTGCTGTGAAATAAAGTTTGTCTTGCAGGGTGTTACGGTGTACCAAGTAACTGCCACGTCCCCGTTTCAAATGCAGGTCACTTCCTCTTTTCTCTCTGTCTCCCCCAAAACAGAAACATTGTGGTTGAATAATTTGTATCTTCTTGACTAACAACAGGTACCTTCTCTTCGTCCTGTGAACGCTACACACTTACTGATTTAGAAACTCACTTCCTCAGAGAAGAGAGGCGACAGAAAGTATAATTAATGATGTTATATTTGGATAAAATAATGTGCATTTGTTTCACATTATAATACATACTGGGGTTTTTGTAAGTCTGAAAGGTAAGAATACTGTAAGAAATACAAACACTTCATATTAGTTTAGTTTTGGTTTATTTTAAAGATCCAGTGTTTAACATTTAAGAGGATTTATTGGCCATGTTTCTACAGTAGCCCAGAACGGACAATCTCAACAGTGGCTATATATCGGTCTGTTTGCGTTTTTCTCACATATGTCGGGCACCTTAGTTTCTCCCTTGTGCTTGGAAACAGAGGGTGAAGAGAGAAGCTACTAGATGCCACTAAATCTGTACACACTGGAGCTTTAAATAACTGTTTAAGACCAAAGATGTCAAATTAGAAACAAAACAAAACAACAATCCAAGAAAAAGTAGTCCGAGGTCAAAAAAATTAAAAAAACTGGTGGAGAACTTTGTTTTTTTTTCTTTCCTGCCACACTAATAATCTTATAGGGGTCATGAGATGATCATGGGGCAGGATTTGAAACAAAGCGGATAAAACTAGGTCCACTTTCAACCAGCTACAACAGTAAAAAGCTACTTTACACACTGATGCATCAGTATTAACAATCTGATAAATAAAACAGTCACAGGGATATAAACAACAAGTACTTTTACTTTGATACTTTAATTTACATTTCACTGATAAAACTTGTGTAACTTTTTGTTGTATTTGGTGCTTTTTTACTTTAATAAATGATCTGATCAGTTCTTCCGGCACTGGTGGTCTTTGATGTGAAAGGCAGTGGGAGTCCAGTTACCATGGCGACAACATACTACCATCAAATAAATACAATAAATAAGACATGTAGCCTCTCATAAACAATAAAATCATTACAAAATCAAGCAATATATATGAGAATTACATACAGATTAACAAAGACGATGAGTGGAGTTGAGTTCTCTCTAGGGTTCAGCTCTGTGATGGTTACTTGAGTTATTTAGATTTAAGAGGTTTTATTAACCTGAACTGGATTTAAAAACATGAGTTTGAGGTTTATTTTTACATCGAAGCAGCAGATAAAGTGTGTTTAACTGTGCAGCAGCAGCAGATGTTATGAAAACGTGGATGAGAAACATCCAATCAAAGTGCACAGGCTGTCTATTTAAACAACGAGTCCCGGTAGCCGTGACAGAGTCACCTGAACATATTCATCCGCGCAAGTGTAAACATAAAAAATAAAAAATAAAACACAGTCTACGAGATTATTATTAATTATTAATAACACGGTGCGAGGAGTTATTTTTAATGTTAATCCGCAATTTGATGCAATTAATTGTTGGGCAGTGATGAGAAAATGTCAGATTTTAATGTGTTACAGAGATTATAATCGATTATCCTCCTTCAAATATGGACATGTTTGAGTTTTCTGTAAACATAGAACATGTAGATATTTATTAATAGCAGTTTCAGATGTAAATTTCTGCTGTAGCATATCGGTTAAACCCCTGGAGAAGTGGGTATACTCTTAATTTATGCCCCTGTTTTTGTGTTTGAAGCCTCATGAAGGATCAACGCCCTGTGTTATAAACAGTATTTAAGCATATTTATCTCACCTAAAAATGTGGTTTGCACTTCGTCACTGAACTTATGCTGCTTGACTTTAGCAGGAAATTAACATTAACCACAGTAGACTCAACACTGGCCTACAGACTACAAATTAATGATATTTTTAATCATTTTTATTGTATATTTTATAGACTTAATTATAATTTCTTTGGAGGTAGCATGAAGGGAACTATACTAAATGTCTTCCTACATCCTTGTTGTGAATTATAATAAAATATACTCAAATCCTTTGACATAATAATGCATTTTAAGTAAAGTACTCCTCACTCCTCCCACCAAATTGCACATTACATCATGCCTTCGCCATCCTAGAAAGAGAATCAGCTCACTACTGAATGATGCACAGAGGGGATTTATATACCCTGCACTAACACCACATTTAAACACAGTAAATTAACCTTAATCCAGGTTTACATTGTGCAGTTATTAAAATCTGAGGCCATAAACCAAAAAAAAAAAAAAAAATACACATAAATAAAATATCTTCACATAATATAAGGTGTTATTTTTTTTATTTTTTTTATTTATTTGGTACCACAACACTGACACAAAATAAAAATAAACAGCAACCACAATAAGCTCCAGCGACTCATCAAACAGCAAACATTGAGGAAACACACAGCCACTAATAAGAAATGAGCGGTGTCTAGTTTTTTCAGCGGACGTGCTCACTGCCTTGGAACAGTCTCCTCACTGTGCATGGATGTGTGTGTGTGTGTGTGTTTGTATATGTGTGTATATGTGTGTGTGTGTGTAAAGCTGCCTCCTCTCGTGTTGATGACGCCTGACGGTCTGACGGTGAACAAACGGGGGATCGCTGGTGAAGAAAGATAAACGGAACACGGTGTTGTATGTATGTGTGTGTGTGTGTGTGTGTGTAAATAAAGAAGAGGAAGGAGAGCAGTGACCGGTTCTCCTCCTCCTCCTCCTCCTCCTCTTCCTCCTCCTCCTCCCCCGTCCGAGCTCTTCCACCGGGTCGGTCCGAGAACGATGAGCCAGCCTCGGCCGGACGAGTTCAAGCCTCCTCCGGAGTGCCCGGTCTTCGAGCCCAGCTGGGAAGAATTCAGAGATCCGTATGCGTTCATCAACAAGATCCGTCCCATCGCGGAGAAGACGGGCATCTGCAAAGTGCGGCCGCCGCCGGTGAGTGCGACCGTTAACGGCGACCAACGGACGCCGAACGACCGTTGGAGACGGCAGTTAGATTTAAAGGGACTCGCTCCAACATGGCGGACGCTCATTCTTTGTGCTGCCACCAGCTAAAAGCTAGCTCTCACTGGCGGTCGCCTGTACGTCGTAACCGTGGCTGTTTTTTTACACTTTTTAATTGTTTTTTTTGTTTTTTTGTTTTGTTTCGAGAGGTCGTTTTAGCAGCGTTGTGAGCCGTGTGTTTTTATTGTGCTTTACAGTCGCGGTCAGTAACAAATAAAAAAAAAAAAAGGAAAAAGAAAGAAGCCTCTCCGCTCATTGGTACACTAACACAAACCTACCTGTCAGTATTTAACACTTTGATAAAGACAGCTATGCGGAAGCTGTTCGACTGCCTTTTAACATGAAGATATGATCATAATATAGATTAAAACAAATGAATGTGTGTTGTTTTTTGTTGTCCTTAAACGCCTCCTGCAGTTGACGTTAATTATGGATTATCTCGCTGAAGAGCATCATGGTGATGTTTGGGGTCACTCAGCTTTTGATCCATCACTTCACGGTCAACTGCACAGTTTTATACTGAATATATATGAATAAAATGTGTTTTTTTTATTTCATTTAATGCCTCTTTTAATAATCCTCTCATGGTGGAGTGAGTGAGAATAAAAAAAAAAGTACTCTTATTTAATTACAAGATGTTTAATCACAAGTTGGGGGGAGTTGGGGTTCAATCCGCTGTAACACACACTATCAGAGTCGTGGTGGCACTTTTTGTTGAGATTTAAGTTTTGTTGAAGATGAGCCACTGTTCATGAAGGAGCCTGTGTTGTAGGGTGTTGTCCTCCATGTTGGCTTTGTGGTAAGCTGTGCTGGTTACTCTTCCATCTGGCCATTTTGTGTGCCAGTGGGGGTTGTTGGCTACTGACTTGAAGCAAAAACTTGGGTCTCCGCTTGTTACGATGTGTGTGTGTGTGTGTGTGTGGGGTTATTGTTATTGTATATGCAAAGGCCTGTGTGATATTGACACAGATATTGATTTGGTGCTCTGAGTTATGAACTGAAAAAGGATCACTGTGTTCTTTCAGTGTCAGCAGGCCCCCTTTTTTTTTGCTTTTCTGTCAAACTTTAAAATCCAACATCACTTTAAAAACCGCCTAGTTTACAGATTAGTTAATTCGCCATGGGTGAAGAATTAAGGATGGGTAATTACTCGCATTTAAGTCCAATCATTGTAAAAACAGTTGCCACAAAAGGACCACGGTGAGAGGTTTTACTTATCAGTGCGACAAAGACGATCATACAAATTTGCCAGCTGCATTAAAAAACCCAGGATACTTTGTTGTGATGACCTTCATGAGCTGTCTTGTGTGTTTTTGTTGCCGTGCAGGGTTGGCAGCCGCCGTTTGCTTGTGATGTTGACAAACTCCACTTTGTTCCTCGGATCCAGAGGCTCAACGAGCTGGAGGTGAGTTTTGTTAGTCAGATTAAAACCAGGGAGTATTTGACTATCCGTGTGTGTGTGTGTGTCGGTAGTCCAAAAAAACTGTGCGTTTAATTACAAAGTCTGTCTCTTCTTTATACAGTTACCAGGCCACGCCGATAACAACAAAGAGCAGTAATGTTATTAACGCCTTGTGATGATTTTATGTAACAACGGATAAATTGCAAACTTGGACGACGTTACATAATTGTTACTTAATCCAAAAGTTTTAAGGAATGAAACTGAAAGTGTGTGTGTTTGTTTGTGTATTTGAAACAACAAGCTGCTCTGTGTTCTTGGATACACGCCGGCCTGCTCAGATTACTTCTCTATTATTTCCCCCAGTGATTCTTGTCCTTGAAATTCCTCATCTTTCCTTGTATTTCATTTATTTGTTGCTGACTGTGTTTATGTCTGATGTTGTTTCTCAGGCGCAGACCAGAGTCAAGCTCAACTTCTTGGACCAGATCGCCAAATTTTGGGATTTGCAGGGATGTGCCCTGAAGATTCCCCATGTGGAGCGGAAGATTTTGGATTTATACAAACTCAATAAGGTTGATAGTTGACATCATGGCACATTATGTTCACATATACATATATTTATATTTTAAAATGGATTTAAACACCACTCGCACCATTAACCTCCCTCCCTGTTGTTTCAGCTGGTAGCAGATGAGGGTGGATTTGACATCGTCTGTCGGGACCGGCGGTGGACCAAGATTGCACTACAAATGGGCTTCGCCCCGGGCAAAGCTGTCGGCTCACACCTGCGAGGACATTATGAGAAAATACTTTATCCCTACAATCTGTTTCAGAGTGGAGCAAACCTGCTGGTGAGTTGGACACACACATGATTATGACAGCACATCTTGTTCCTGGTGAAACACAAAGAGAAGCTGTCATACATACGAACAGTGTGTGTGGCCTCCAACGTAAACAAACTCCTAATAATGTTTATCCATTCTGCTCGTTACCATCAATTATTAAATGTTACAGTCAAAGTTAAAGTTGTTATTTGTTTTGCTAAAACATTTTAGTTGTTTTTGAGTCCTATTAAATATTTAATATGGATTACATTAATGCCTTAAAAATAAATGCAAACATACATTATTAGGATATGCATGTTTTGTTTTAGGCTACAGCTTCAATCTATGTTTTTATGTTGTATTTTATTTAATGTCTGACTAAAAATAATAAGAGTGAATTTATCATCTGGTGTCATGTCGTTTAATAGCTTTTGCACTTTTAATATTCAGTAACGAGAGCTTATCGAAGGTCATTGGATTGGTGCCGTGTGACCTGTTGGACAGGTCACTGTAAATTGTTTAATTACCCAAGCTCTCTCTTGCCTCAGGCACCAGAGGCAGCTTCCAAACTGATGCGTTTGGAGGCTGATCCTGAACTTGAAAAGGTATGTTTGTGTCACGGTTTGAAGCCACGAAATTAACACAATGCATGTGTATCTGTGGCTGGGCAGTATTCTGTGTTTTCAGCTTATTGTTTTAATATTTGCAGACACTGTATTGTGAATTTAATTCTCCGGGTTTTACAGCAAAACAAGTCAACCTACACTACACTTATATATATATATATATAAACTAATATAAAATGGTTGTTTTGTTTCTGTGGCACGCAGCATGCAGCCATTAGGTGCTAATTATGTATCAGTTCAAATATTGTTCTCTTATCTTCTATCCTTTTGTTTTAAGTGCCACTATAATTAAAAAACTGCCAACTCAGAGGAACTCCTGGAAGTCTGATATTCATCACCTGTGCACCTGTTGTCGTCTGATTTGGCATGTTCCTTCTCAGTTTCTGTCCTCCCGGTTTGGGGTGACAAACTGAAACTAACCACATCCTTCTTATGGCCTCTTTTACCCTCTGGCTGTTTAAATTGATGAAGTGAAACGTAAATATGAAATACTGTCTCTGGCAGAGCGTCCCAGTCTTTCAACCACATTTGGTAGCTTATAATACTTCCTCGTTATCGTCACATATTGTTCTATATTTCTTTGTTACCTCAGGTAAAACGGAAGTAATAAACATATGAGGGGATTCAAATGTAGGCTGCGGGACACTCAAACATCCTCTTAGACCATTAATATCTTACTGCTCGCCTCATTTGAGCCTACAGGTATATCCAGTTATGCATTTTTAACAGATAGTAACCTGTGGTTTTAACTGTTGTACCATTTCCTTCAGTGCGTTCAGAAGCCAGTCCAACCATTGGAGCTTCCAGGAAGCGTTGAGAGCCATGACACCAAGGAGCACAAGCTGCAGGAACAGGCTCAGAAGCAGCCGGCCCAGACGCCGGACATGTGCCCGACTGCTCGCAGGGCCAAGCGGATGAAGTGTGAGGTGGGTGTTAAAGAGTGCCACACACACCTGTTGGGGGGGGAGACTGTCCTGAAACAAGCAGTACTTCATTCTTTGCTGTTCTCCCCATGTTCAACACCCTCCTGTAGGCCTTCTGTGTGAAGACTGAACCAGGTGAACCCGGCGAGAGCAAGCCAAACCTGAGGCGGAGGATGGGTTCTTTTGTCGCCAAGCAAGAACCAGGTCAGTCTTCATATATTAATGACATTTAGAATAAGTTTTTATAAGAATATTTCATAAACGGTATATAATGTAAGTTATAAGCAAGTGTTCATTAATGTATTCTTCTACTATAACTTCTCCTGTGGACACCCATTAAAGGCTGATGTAGAAACAGATGGTAAATGACAATATAGTAAAACATATAAAACAATATATTCATAGAAAGCGGTTATAAATGTTGATACTGTGCATTTAGAAACACTAAAAATGTCCTCATAGCCACATACAACTAGGTCAATCCCTCCTAGTCTGGTCAGGTGCCCTTGGGCAAGATGCTAAACCCCGATGGCTTTGCTGTCCTCGTGTGTGTGTGTGTGTTGTAAAGCCAGTGAGTGCTTTATAAATACACACGCCCATTTACCATCCATTTTCGGTTGGTTAATGGTGTCGGTATTGTTTCCTGTTGTTGTCTTACAGAAAAAGAGATTCCCATTCCAGTGAAACAGGAACCAGTTGAAAGTAAGGAGCCGATAATTGAAGCTGACAAATCCAAGTCACGGTACAAGAAATTCATCCCTCCCGTTCCTCCGAGTCCAGTAAGTACAAATGTGTTTGGACGAGATGTACCCGCATGAGTTCCTTAAATCTCTTGATCAAAAATTAATAAGCTGTAAGTCAGTTTAATGCATGATCACAAGTCCACGCTCAGCTTTAATTACTTAACATTAAACTTGTGCTGTAAAATATCTTTTGTCTGTCCATTGTTTAAGTTTGTTTCTAGGAACAACATTAAAGCTTTGCAGTGCTAATGTAGTTTGTAGTCTTCCTTGGGTCTACAAGGAAACTTGCATAACACATAACAAGATTAACTTTACATTAATGACTGCATGTAATCGCATGAATGATAAAATAATGATATAAAACCCCTTTCATCACATTCGTCTTGCATGAATTAGATTGCTCTCCCATCTCAATAAAGCAAAGTGTGAATGCATCCAAGAAGCATTCGAGACGGAGATTTTTTGAGATGTGTTGTAGCCAGATGTTTAAGATCTGTCTCTCCAAGGCACAAAAGTAATATCGACTCCTCCTTTTGTTGTATCTATGTCAGTAAGCAGTCTGTAGAAGTTGTCATTCACTGATTCTTAATACATCTGTCGTCTGTCTCCTCTGTCTTTGTGATGAAGGCAGATAAAGTTACACTGAAATTAGCTGTTTGTTCTCTGTCTCATTAAAGCAACA